AAAAATTGGCTCCCCAATGTAATTATTAGATGTTCCTTAGGAGGGAGGGAGTTAGACAGGAATTAATTGATACCAATATTGTTACAACAAGCTTGTCATGAAACCCGTCCACTTGAAGTATTCCAACAGTTAGAGAACGAAATGTTTCGCATTGAGCAGTTAAGTCGCTTTGTGAAATATTTATTGTTTTCTTTATCGAGGATGGAGGTTTGGTTTGAAGGTAAATTTGCCATTTCTGTTGAGCTGTTAGATGATTGATTGGACAATAAGGAAAAGGGAAATTCTAGGATATTAATGCTTTTCTTTAGTCACTGGGTCATAACCTGTTGTAATGGAAGTTGTATAGAGTAGCGTAAGCTGTTAGGCTTGTATTTAATATCACCTAGTGAAGCGAGTTGGGAGATTGAAGAGTCTGAAAACTATAGTGGAGAGTTGTTGATTAAACCCACTTAGTATCAGAGCGCTATTTAAACGAATTACTACATCTAAGTGAAGGACACAATTCACTTGTTTATGCTAAATAATTGGGAGGCTGGTCAATGTATGAGTTGTCATGAATGTGGCTAGTAATAATAGAACCTTATTACGTTCCGTATAAATGCGCCTCTTCATTGCCAAGTGGCGCCAATTTCAACACAAGTACGGGACGATGCTCAGAATCCTCCAATAGTCAACGAGCTGGGTAATCAAGAATTTGTAGTTGAATCTATTATTCGAGCGCGAACAGAGCGACGTGGACGAGGGGTATTTCGGCAAGCCCTAGTGAAGCAGATCCGACCTGGGAGCCAATAGAATTCATAGAGGACACTGAAGCCTTAGATAGGTTTGAGGAGCATTATGGTCCGATCGAAAATAACAATGGACCTCCAGAGGAGAGCGCGGGAAAATTTATTGGTCCTGCTGCAAAGAATACAATGCAAAAGCGGCGCCTTTGACCAAAAAAAAAAGATAGTTGAATGCCTCTCAAAAGTGGAAGGGGCAATGTGATGGCTAGTAAGCCAATAAGATCCCTGTAGCCTGTACTATTCATCACAGATATATTCATAGTGTCAGCGCTAAGTTGCGCTCTTATTGAAAGTCGGGAACTGCCCGTATTTGAGACACTGTTGGAAACTAGCGCACACCTTAATAATGGGGGCACAACTGGAGGATAGCTACTAGTGTTTGGAACATTGTAATCATGTATATATAGGGCGTTAGATGTAGCATTACTCTTGTTCTTCGGTTAATAAATAAACTTACCTTTTGACATACAAACGCCCAAGCTTTATATACCAGAACCGTTACAACATTTGATACCTACTGACACCCATTTGGCCACAGTGATACGCACTCAGTGTCCATCGTGCCATCACCCGGTGTGAGCGCGCCATCTCTGCAACTCACCATTGCACATGAGCCCATGTAAATCCACCGACGGACAGTAGAGGCATAATTACCATATACCTCACTGCTCATAACCACAACACATTTCAACCTCCACCATACTTGGTGGCAGCTATCCTGGCCATGCGGACCATCTAGGAGCTCATAAGCATTTGTGCAATGGGCTGAAAGTCATAATTTCCATCTCTTCTCGCCTACAGAAGAGGCAACTCACAATTGTGGAAACGTACTGGACCTAGCGCTCGGGCGAGGACCTCTTTTGCACAATGCAGAATGTGAAATAGCCACAGACCTAGACACAACCTCAGGCCATCTCCCACTCCTAACAACAGTTGCGTGGAATCGCAAAAGCGAGCCGCTCAAAAGACTCCGCCTTGATACTGTTGATAAAGACCTCTTTTGCTGCCTGCTGAAGACTTCGACCTGCTGTATTATCCCCCTCCTACCTCTTCCTTCCAAACACGACCTCGATATATTGACAGAGAGCCTGGTTAAAGCCGTTGGTACCGCCTTTAATGGATCCGCTCAACGCTCTATTGGAGCTGGCCGTGGTAATCTATGGCGGAACAGTGCATGCAGGTCTGCTGGCACACAATATAAACAGCTTGCCCGCTCCTCCTCTGATAAAGAGATTGAACTCAGGGGTGCTAAGAAAGCCTATTGCAACTTTATTAGGAAATCCAAGCACGCTTTCTTCAAGACTCATGCTGAGAAAGCTAGCTCGTGTAAAGACGTGTTTGAAATGGCAAAGTGGCTCAGATCAACCAGGAATTTCCGACCAACCCCTTTCAAAGACCCCCAGTCACCAAACAGTAACCATGCAATCACAACAGAGAAAAAAGGAAAGTTTTATTAGCCAAATTACTGACAAACTCCACAAACACCAAAGTTATGCCATTTGACACTCCTGCTGTGCTAAATACCCGACTGCCATTTGCTCCCCTAGCAAATGAAGAATTGAAAGCAGCAATTCTCCGAGCTGGCAATACCTCCCCAGGTGTTAATGAGATACCACCAGCTATTCTTGAAGAAGCATGGCCACTTTTTCAAGATCATATCATAGCACTCTTCACTAGTTGTCTGTCACTGGGACACCACCCTATTTGCTTCCAGCAGCCTGAAGCAGCTATCCTTCAAAAGCCTAGCAAGACTGATCTATCTTTGCCTCGATCTTATCAATCAATTGCGTTCCTTTTGGTTCAGGGAAAAGGTCTGGAAATATTGATAGCAAAACCTATATCCTGGATTGCTGTCAGGCATAAAGTCCTGGTCTCCCAAAAATTTGGAACTTTCCCAAGTAGATCTGCAACTGACCTCACAGCCAGCCTCACCCATGATGTGAAGAGAGCTCTCAACAAAGGACGCACAGCAAGCATGCTCACACTCGATGTAAAAGGTGCTTTTGACGCTGTTCTCCCAGGAAGACAATTACACTGTATGCAAATCCAAGGCTTGGCCAAAAACCTCGTTGACTGGGTCGGCTCCTTTGCAACGGGACGCTCAGTACGGATCTGTATAGATGGAGATATAGGCCCTCTTCAAAAAGTAACATGTGATCTTCTGCAAGGATCTCCTGTTTCTCCCATCCTTTTTATGCTCTATATCAAACCTCTTTTCAGACTCAAAAACCTCACAAATGCATTTGGATATGTGGACAATGTGGCCATCCTAGCAACTCAAAAATCGCTCACGGAAAACTACGACTTCCTTACAAAGTCCCTAAAACAAGCCTCCGAATGGGGTAAGACCGAGGGTATGACGTTTGATCCCGGAAAATCTGAGCTGCAACACTTTTCTAGGCGCCACAGCAATCGGGATCCACATAGTACTCCAAAAGTTATTATAAGGTTATGGATTGTAGAGGAATGCTGGAATGGTATAGGGAGGTGAAGAATATATGCCGAACAACGAAGCAGTTGAATAGAGCTTAAGGGTGAAGCTTGGTAGGGTGAAACAAAGAGGGTATGAATAGACCTTCAGAGATATTCAGTGAATGTAATGAACTGAGGATTTCTGAAGGAGAAGAACACCACATATATGTACAGGAATTAGTCCTACTGTTGTAAAGGTAAGAGCTTACGGAGGTTAATTGGCAGAAGGTTTACGGATGATTATCAATGAATCAATGTGAACTGCTGATATATTTGATACTCAGAACTTTGAGGATTTAGGAGGTAGAAAGCGCTAATTATATACACATCTGAGATGGCTTGACTCTCGCCTCATTTACCCAAAATAGTATCACGGAATGTTCTAGTCTCCTCCATCCGGCAGTACAATCTAGAAACACTTTCTATATAGTGCTCTATTGTTCCTCTACTCATCATGGAGCCACCTGGAAAGTTCTTCCTTCGCCCTCAGTGATCATTACCCTTGTGCATCGTAATCCTAGCTATCACCAGCACAACACCTACTGAGACGAATTTAGAAATAAGCCAGGATATGCACCCATGTCCCAGTATGGCGACGTTATCATGGTGAAGGTATGTCTTGACCACCAGTAGACCCCCAAGCTAGCTGAGTGTAAGACAGAATCATGCATATACCATAATTTCCAACATATCTTGTGTTAAGCGCGAAGACTAATTAATAATGTAGAAAAGAGATGTGGCGCAGTATTAAATGATACAAATAACGGAAACGAAAACGAGATAGTACATAACTAGTGTAACAGATGCAGGACTGTTTGAATTACAACACATCCCCTACCCAAAAAGCCACACCTAAAAAGGAGGAAAGGAAAAATAATTTTGATGATGAGCTTCCATATATTCCTACCACATTTGACTGATCCAGCAATTTGCCCACGCCATGGCAAAATTTGCCGATTTCACAATGCTTTTCCAGCAGCGCCTCAAAATATGGTGGTGATAAGTATGAGGCTATTGATGATGCCCTTTTTATTTTTCACTGCAATTGCGATATCAACAATGTCGCATACCCTGCCCGTGGTCATCTATTCCACTACATGCTGAAAGGCGAAGTCCTAACATTTTTCAGTACCAAAGTGTGCCAGTTCACTGAAATTAATAAAATAGTACTGTTAATAAGAGAGTATTTTCAACCAGAGAGTAGTAGTCAGCAGTGTCTGCAAGAGTGGGAAAGTGTTAGTTTACAACTCACTTTACAACAGCATCCAGATAAGTCGAAGGCTGACTGCTTCAATATTATGCTACAAAACCTTCTCAAGATCAAAAAGCTACTGCCTTCTGATATGCAGACTGATAGCCATCTACAACTTAAGATGCAAGTTACATGCAAGAGTTATACAGATATTCACCATGCCATATTAAAAGATGTGTCAAATTTCCGTGAGATGACAAACAATATCCGGTCATCAATTTGACTACTAGATTCTACCAATACACTCTTCTCTACGCACATTAATAACCCGGCAACTACCCACCTTCAACAAAGATCCTCCATACCTGGTACACCAAATGACAATGTCAACAAAACATTTTGGACTGAACGCAAATATAATGGTAATAAGCATTACCGTAGTGGGTATAATAAGGATAAGCAACACCAGACTAGGTGCTATGTATGCAAAAAGCTTGGATGTATCTCTTATAATCATACTGATAGTGAGCGAGAGGAAGCTTTCAAAAAGTATGCCAATTGTCACGTCAAGAGGCAAGGAGGTGGACGTCCCTCCAAGGCCCAGTATGAGGCTTTTCTCTACCATGCTGAAATCCATGACAATTATGCTTCAAGTGATGAAGATGACTCAAATGAAGATGAAAGCAGCACTAGACCATCAGAGATGTATTTTCATTCAAGCTTTTTCACAGCCATACAGTTGTTGACTGCACTATGAGGGCAAAAGGTCGCAGATGCCCTCAATGAATATTCGACCCTGCATGCAGTAACGGGTTCAACACCGCAGCTACCACACTTTAGCCCCAGCCATCACCCTATGTTGTCCACTAGCTTTTTGCTAGATTGATATTCAGCTAATGTATTTCAAGGTATTATACCTGATAGCGGTGCGGCCGAAATTTCAACAGCAGTTGAAGCACAATTCGAAGCACTATGTCCAATAGATCCTACCATTAGCCTTGTACCCCCTTAAGATAAAGGTACTGTCCGATTTGGCGATTCAGCTGCCCAAAAACCCCTGGGTACAACAGCTATAAACACACCCTTTGAACTAGTAGTGTTTCATGTAATACCAACAAAAACGCCCTTTCTATTAAGTGCGCGAGACATGGCGAGACTACAGATCAACGTCTAGCTTCGTAATGGCTACCTCTTTTGCGTATCTGACAGTGTAAAGATCCCACTGGTCTGGAAATGGGGCCATCCTTGGTTCTTCTTGCATGATCTTGAAAAAGCTGTTGTTCACAGCCAAATGTTAGTGGAAACAGAGTTACGGCAGATACATTGCCGATTTGGCCATCTGTTAGATAGTAGGCTACATAAAATATTGACAAAAGCCGGCCATGGTAGCAACTCACTATTGGGCTCGATCAAATCTATTGCCAAGTTCTGTCAGCATTGTCAGCCGAAAGCAAAGGCACCAGGTCGCTTCAAATTTAAGTTGCAAGATGATGATATTCACTTCAACTATGAAATAATAGTCATTGTCTTTTATCTAGAGACAAATTTACCCGTTCTTCATGTTAACGCTGCAACGTCTTACCAAGCTGCGCGATTTTGGAAAGATATATTGGCAGCCCATACCTGGCAGGCCTTACGGCAGTGCTGGATCAACGTTTATCTTGGCCCGCCCGATTTTATAAGCCACAACCCAGGTCGAAATTTCTCGTCCAATAAATTTCGACAGTCTGCAAAGCTTATGGAAACCGAGGTCCAAGAGCAGCCGATCGAGGCTCATAACAGTGTTGGAAAGGTAGAAAGATACCATACCATTCTATGTCGAGCCTATGAAATTATATGGTTAGAGGATCCATCAACACCTCGAGATGCGGCTCTCCAATTGGCTGTTAAGGCTGTTAACAACTCTGCCGGCCCAGACGGCTTAACACTCACGTTATTAGTTTTCGGTGCCTACCCACACCTAACAAATGACTGCTCTCCATCGCCTGAGCTACGCCGTCGAACGGCTGCTTTATTCAAAGCTACCCAGGAGATTCAATGCCTGCATGCCTGCCAGAATACTACTGCAGCACTCCACCAGCGCAACGGCCCAGATACACTACCTACACTGAGCTTGCCCTTGCTATCAAAAGTCCGTGTATGGCGTGAAAAACAAGGTTGGCAGGGCCCATACAGGCTGTTGTCGATAGAAGGTGAGAGCTGTGTCTTGCAACTACCTCAGGGCCCACGAAAATTCCGATCAACAGCAGTTAAGCCATACTACGAGATCAGCAAAGACCCACCAACAGCGTCCAATCATTTTCCTAACCTACAACCTGACACAACGCTACCCATGACTCAAGATGCTAGCTCAGAGATTGTCTCCCCAAAAGATACTGCCCAAAATGACTCTTCTAAACCGAACGATTATGCTGCCCCACTTGAAAGACAAAGTAGTCGCTTGAAAAAACCTCAAGTTCTGCAACTGATAAATCATTATCACGCCTGGACAGAAGTCGAGCCATGCACTCTTTTTATATCTGCACGGGAACAAGCCGACAAACTGCTTGCACAAGAACTACGCGCTAAGGGTGTTATTACTACATCTGGGGCGCCTTTTGAAGCTTCAATACGTGCCGAAATCGATGGCCTCATAGCTCGTGGCATCTTTGTTTTTGCTAAGTTCTCACCTACCTTACATTAAGGTATAAGGATCTTCCGCTCGCGGATAGTGAATGAAATTAAGCACAAAAATAGCGAAAGTCCCTATGAAAAGTCACGATTGGTAATACAAGGATTTACTGACAAAGATAAGGATAAAATTTTGACGCAGTCACCCACTATACAAAGGACAAGTCAAAGACTTATTTTTTCGCTGGCTCCGACTCTTCTGCAGCAAGGATATACCTTCTGGCTGCGCGATATTACCCAGGCTTACACACAGTTAGCAACGCCTTTAAAAAGAACGGTACTTGCGTATTTGCCTAAAGAACTCTGCCCATATCATCCCAACGGTACAATTATTCAAGTTTTCAAACCATTATACGGGATTGCAAAAGCCGGTACCCACTGGTGGGTAACCTGTAGTACTCATCACAAAGACAAGTTGTCCATGGTCACCTCAACCTTTGACCCTTGTTTGTTGACAACTTCACATCATGGAGAGCTCGCGGTGATTGGTATGCAAACTGACAACACAATAGGTCTATTGACAAAGGCCTTTGCAAACAAAGAGGATGAAGCCTTGAAAAACGCATTGCTACAGGCCAAACCAAAGCAGTATCTCGATATTTATAATCCAATTATGTTCAACGGTGGCAAGATATCCCTCGAGGCTCGGACTGGAAATGTGGTATTCAGACAGAAAGGCCAAGCTGCTAATATTACTCTCATCAACCCTACAGCCAAGGATGCTAAGCAGAAATATGTAGAGCAAAGAGCCTGTGGGGCGTATATAGCTTCTATCTGCCAGCCTGAAGCTTGCTTCGACCTATCAGCGGCTGCCCAAAAGCAGCAAGACCCTAGCAGTTACGTCATTACCGCTCTTAACAAACAGTTACAATGGCAAATGAGAAATCCTGACCATGGATTAGTATACGTACCACTCAAGATGGAAACTGCGAAGATTTTCGTCTTTGTCAATGGATCATTTGCAAACAACGCTGACTACTCCTTGCAGCTAGGGTTTGTTATTGTTTATGGAAATGAAACAATAGATGGGACAACTAACAAAGATTTCCTTTTGCGTGGTAACATTGTACATTTCTCATCCACAAAGAGTAAGAGAGTCGTGCGGAGCACACTGGCATCCGAGATCTATGCTATGGTTGCCAGGCTCAATATGGCTTATACTATTAAGTCCATGCTAGGGTTAATTTTGAGTGGGAAAGATAGGTTAGGTCACATTCCAATAGTTATATGCACAGATTCATATTCATTATATGAGTGTCTTGTCAAGCTAGGCACGACAAAGGAGAAAAGGCTGATGATCAATATAATGGGCCTACGGCAGTTGTACGAGAGAAGGGAAGTTGACAATGTTCAATGATTGATGGGAAGTGTAATATGGCAGATGGGCTCATCAAGGCATCTCCAAATACGGCATTGGCTACATTTGTATCAGCTAACAAAATTGCTATATATACAGAGGGCTGGGTAACGCGCGACGAAGATTGAGAAGGCAATTTGCAACCGTAACTATAGATATGGGTACCAACAAAGAAAAGAGTGCCTGTGTCTGAACTTGATGGTTATTGGCAGTTCCAGCTGTTGTGATCTAACGCTGTTCAATCTGCGGACTTTATGGTGAGCAGTTATTACATCTCACGTGGTGGAACACGGGAGCGAAGTAAAAGAGGGGACAGCCCACTAGCCAAATCTAAGCAATTACGGGCACATGTAGAACTGTAGCACATTCTCTGTAGATAGACATCACAAGCAATTATCATCAATAATTAAATCAACCTCCACACAATTGAGACCCATAGAAGTGCTAAACTTTCATACAACCCTCAATTGTATTGTCGCAATTGCATCTGTAACAAGTCACCACTGCATTCTAGAATACATTCTCTAACTGTGATAAGCTACACTGCCAGGTCTAGCAAACAAATTACAATACCAGCAACGGCTTACATGTAAAGGCACGTGACTGTAGAGTCACACAGACCATGTAGAGTATACCAAGTAGTGTAGCAGATAGAGAGAGAGAAAAAAAAGCACAACACAAGATATCAAGAGTAACCAATAAGTTGTAACAGATATCACATACCTGTGATACCAACAATCTCTATTTCCATATTTTGCCCCAAACTTGTCTAGCGCCTCTGTTTCTTCCAAATTGCATCTTTGTTCCCAGGTTGGCTCGGCAAATCCTTTCCATTTAACTAGCAGTAGTTGTCAGTGGCCCCTGCCAATTTTCTTGTTCTCTGCCCGCAAAATTCTTTTAACATATTGCTCAGGTTCGTTTTCTTTGTCTGTCTCGCCCTCTACAAACTGTGGTACAGCGGGTGGGGGTTGGGCGTCATCTATAACCTGCAATGGCAATGGATCTGTGGTGGCTCTTTTCAACAGGTCGACATGAAATTGTGGCCATATTCCTGACAGTGTATTTAATTCCACTGAATGAAAGTCCACAACCTTAACAATTTGATATTTTGCGTTAATCCAAGAAATCTTCTTGGATAATTGTGACGATTCTGTATTCTTCAATTTCAGCCATACTAGGTCTCCCTTTTTAAAAAAGTCTGCCTCTGTACAACTTCTATTTGCATACTCTTCCATTCTATGTTGGGCTAAAGCCATAGAAGCCTGGGCGAGCTCTTCAGCTTCTCGATGCTATTCAACAAATACCTGTGCTCTTTTGGCGGGTGCCGACGGAGCGCTTGTTGCTTCTACTTGTTGGATAGGTTCAATATGGTAGCCGTGTTCAGCGAAAAATGGGCTCATTCCTAGTGATGATGAGGTTCTGTTATTTAGTGCTAACATTGCGCATTGTAATAAATCCTTCCAGTCAGATTGCGTTTATATAATGAATGCTCTTAGGTAAGCTAGGATTTCCTGGTTCATTCTCTCTATAGTGCCGTCGGTCTGCAGGTGAAATGCTGTTGATAAGCGCTGATTTATACCTGTTAGACAACACAATTCTGTCCATAAATCTCCTACCTAATTTGATCCTCTATCAGATGTTATGTGCATCGGAAATCCGTGGTATCTAACGTGGAGCTTAAAAAATGCTTTAGCGCAATCTTCAGCTTTCATTGTTGTC